CTCAATGATGAGTTCATCTCAATGACAACTGAAGAATTGAGAGCATTGAGATGCCGTTCCGGAAATTGCGCCGCGAAACAATATAATTAAATGTTTCCAATGAGGATGTGATTTTCGGGAAAATCCAATTGAAACCCGATTGATCGGTAATTAATTAAATGCAGAGGCGATTTAGAAATTTTCAAAGTAAATTTCCTCGGAAATGGGATTTCAAATGATAGAATTTTGTTGTCTCATTTAGTCATGTATTTTCGTGTAGAATGGAATTCCGTTAATTTTATGTATATGTAAAATTAGTACAGCTGGCATTCCGAGTGCAACGGTTAATAGGTATGCTAATTTATGACTGTACAGCCGCTGTATATTTAAACATATGTTGTTGTTAGCATAGTACTAAAGAATATTTCTTATATTACCTCCGGTTGAAAGAGATTTGAAACATCGTGTCCAATAATTGGACGCATACAGATAGTATATCTAATTACGTGATTGCACAGTTGTCCGTTTGTTAGTTAAACAAGAAATTATGCAAGCCACTGTAATTAAGAAGCATAATTGTAAATTTCCAACAAAAGCCCAAACAAGCTGTGCATTCTAGAGTATTGAATTTCTGGCTCGTATAAATTATCCGGATTCCAATAATAATCAAGTTAACTGCTCTAGATTTAATAAGCTTAAAATTAACTAACACAGTAATTGTTATAATTAATGTCAAGTATAAATCAGCCGAACAATTTGAGCTATTTTCAGTAATCGATGGCAACAAGAATTGCATAGGCAGTTAAATTATGAAGACTACTGTATCGAAATATATCTATGTGTCTATTATTCCATAATTCTTATTGACTTTATTTATTGCACTTATGATATTACCAGCAATAAATGACATAATAAGTGATGAAATAAAATATTAAAATATTTTAACAAATATAAAAATAGCTTGTGATTGATATCTAGTCATACGATTAACTGTCAAACAGTACTTAAGTACGGTTCTGACACAATTGAAAAACAAATCAATTTTTTGAATTTCACTTTCACATTCGATGAAAAGTGTCAAAAGTTACTACATGTATAGTAATGGTTTTAACGCTTAGCTTTATTATTAATGCATTTAATGCAATTTAATCGAAGTATTTGCAATGATGTTCAGAATCTTTTCAAAAAAATATTTCTATAAATATTACTTACTTTATGTTCTTAATCACTTTGAATACTAGAATTTCATTAGAAGTTTAAACAATATATTACATAAACAACCAAACAATCCAATCGATTCCCTAACTAATTTCAATGATAGTAAATTGTTCTACACAAGTTTTATCCAATAAACGATTAATTATTCCCTTGGAAACGTTGAGATAAATTCATATTGTAATTACATGTATGGCATTCTGTTTTAATGTTCTTAATGTATAATTAATTTCCGAAACACCCAATATTTGAACAGTATATATTATATTACCCATTACTAATGAATTTAAATAGTTAAATTTCTGTGAATTCGAAATCGATACGTTGTTATGCATTAATCATCCGAAGTGTTCCAAATTGTAATCCAATCATTACAGAAATCATTAGACGTGATGAATTCTGATCATGATAATTCAATACATTCTTTATACCAAACTGTAAGCGTTAATAATACAAACTTTGCGCCGTGAACCAGTAGTAATCAGAAATTATGTTCTACTTATGAAATTAAATAAATAAGTAATTAGTTCAAAACACTATTACCAAACTCTCCGGGTCTGTTACACAGTTTGCGACTTGAGCAATCCTGCTTCGCTAAATTACTAATATCATAGTTTACGGGAAACTGTGCGTAATGCAAGTGAATTTTCAAAGTGCTATGCCAGTTTGAGTCATAAAAAATTATTATAGAATTTATATTTCAACGAGGTTCATAATAAATCTTAATATTACAAAATCATTATACGAAAAATCGATGTAGAACATGTTTAGCGAAACTATGGTTAAGGAACTATTAGTAACTTAAACGAATTTTTCTCATAGAACAATTTATTTTTATCTAAAAAAAAACCATAACCACCGCCCCATTGAAATTTTAACACGTTAAATGCCACAAAAATCTTGACCATTCTTCTGTACGGTTATCCTTTTTAGCAAAAAAAAGTAGCAACAATTATTCACTATTTGGCGTTACAATCTTTGCATTACACTGTTGTCAACTTAGTTACCTTATTAAACTGTTTGATTCGATATCGATTATCTTGCATGTTACGATTGTTTCCAAGTAATTCAGAATCGTCAGTCATCGATAACTAACATGGTATTTGACGTGTTAAACATTAACTTTTATAAAGTCTTCAATCACTAATCTATAAAGTGTAAAATAACTAACATCGAATAAAAATGTCGAATAACCTAAATAACTAGATAACGTGACGTAAATCATCGTTGCTACAAAGAAATTGGTGATACATAAAACGCCGAAACGCTTTTCGTGGCAGCGAACGTGCTAAATATCTTTTAAATGCAGTAAACATTACACTAATCCGAGCACGTATGTGCACTGACGTGTATTATTGACCCTATGGCAGATTGCTACAATGTACCCTACATGTTTATCCGCAGACATACACTTTCGTTCGACTCTAAAGTCCTGAGGGCCTAGCATTTCTCTCGATGATCAGCTTTGGCAGAATGGAAGTCTGCTGTACCAATTGGGGTAGCGGCTCTCTCTCGTGATGAACTCACGTTGCAGCTCACTTGGTACACGGAGATACTGTGTTTGATGTCAATTCGTCACAGACGGATATATCCAGCTCGGAAAACCTGAGAATGCCACACAATGTGCATGTTCGATTTGAAAGACAAAATAACTAAAACTCGATCAAAAAATTTTTATAGGAACGTGAAGCTTATGTAATCTAACCCTTTACCGTGCAATAACGTAACAAACTTGTGGTGAAGATTTTAAACTCAATTTATTATATTATGTACTGATTAATTTTCAGAAAACTGAATTATGAGGATAGTTATTATAAAAATTATATTTCTATATTGGTATATTAAATATATTAAATATATTTATATTATATTGGTATATAATGTATTTTAAATAGATAATTAGTTCTGAGGAAAGTTAATATCTTTTTATATGCTGTGGTAATTAGCGAAGTTACGTAGCTAGTTCTCTTTATATAAATATTACTCGATTCTTTTGAATTCGAATGAAGTATTATTCTTTTATTACTAATTATTACACTTTGTAAACAAGATTAATATATAATATGCCTATAATTTTGTTGTTTTTCTTAACAAATTAATAATGCGTACTCATATATTTTCCTCGACATTTATAGTCATTGATGCCTACTTTCAATCGAAATCATGTAAAAATATAATTGGACATACACACAGTATCTTTCACAGACACGTCGACAAAATTAGAGAGCAATTTTTTCTTAACGTTTCCTTCTTGCACCACCTTCCTCTAAATCTAACATACACAAAAATGTTGTAAAGGAATCGATAAGCCGAGTGAAGAAATTAACGAAGCGAAAATGCAATCGTCCGTCAAACGAAAAAAATATCAAACGATTTCTGCACGAAAACTTGGTATATCGATCGTCGATAACTTTGGAAAACTAGTTAATCCTGAATTTCCACGAAAAATCCTCTGTGAAAACGGCTTCCATTGTTATACGCCATAAAAGAAATACGGGTAAAAAGTGTTATTCGAAAATACATATAGATATTTATAAAAACAAGAATGCTTAAGGCACGTTATTTTTTTATGTGAAAGAAAATTTAACGTATTTGAATCTGATGTTCTAAAATTTGGAGGAAAGCGAATAAAGAATTGAGTAACAGAAAAGAAAATTAAATTCGATAATACAGCTGTTATAAAAAATAAATGAGTATCGAATTATAAGTAAGTCAACATCAAAGTGAAAATCTTATCTACATTCATAATGTGTGTAATATTTATTTATTCGAATTATTTCACTTTGTTTATACTCATATGTTTCAAAACTATCACGACAGTTGAAAAATAACTTAAATATGAAACTACTATCGCTGACGTGAAATCGTGTCAATTCTGAAGTGATATTACATTTCTACATAACGTTGTACGGGAAAACGTAATACGGTAGAACATCGTGTGGAAATAGAAAACAAGAAATAAAATTAAAGTAAGTCCACAGTAGAAGTTAATCCAAGTTAATGAGAGGTAAAAGGATGAAAAAAGTAACAAGAAACACTGTAGCAAACTCCTTGACTTTAATTTGGATGAAACTTTTGAATTTTTTGCTCTAGTAATTCGGATTTGCGAAAAGAAAACACACCGTTTTAATAAAAATTGTATGGCTATTATTACAAGAGGAGAATATTGAGCTAACAAAAACTGTTGACCTATAACGTATAAGAAAATCTTATAAAAGATTTCAAAATCGGATATTGTATCTTTTTCGTCATACGAACGATCGTATTTTATAAAATAAATGTGTAGAGATACGAATGAGATAAATATAATTCTAATTATTTACAAAGTCTTAAAAGCTACTAGCAATTATAACTAAAAATTACAATAAAAACTCCTACTACTACGAAACAACTAGAATAATTCCGAATTTTTTTATCATTTTTTCCTCGATAGCTCTGTACTGTTACGATATTTGAAATGCATTTGAAAAAATAGTTAATTTGTAAGAGAGCAGTGGCGACGATTCTTCTTACTAATAATATTTAAAATAACATAATAATATAATTTATTTTAAAAATATCTTGACAAAGAATCACACATGTGAATAAAACTGATGTCGAGTCACGCTCAACGTAGGAGCACAAAGGGTTAAAGATTCAAGGAATTAACACTTAGGGAGTTAATAAGCAGTTAATAATTGGACTGAAGGAGGTTGTTAAAAATAGGTGATTTTTATACTGCAGTAAAACTGTTCGTTCCGAGGGTCACATAAAAATTGCCTATTTTCAACATCCATCTTTCACGATCGTACTTTGGTTTGTTTCAGATCTGCCAATAGTAACGGATTCAGTGTCAACGAAATCAACGACGACGGCAAAGCGATCGGTACCGACGGATGCACCGATGCTGTATTACATCTTCGACGCGCACAGCACGCTGAACAAGCATCAGCATTATCACGATCATCGGTGGGGCCCTCACTTCGAAGGCGAAGGGAAGAATATGACCGTTCAGTCCGGTGGCCGCGCCATGCTCGATTGCAGGATATCCTTGCTCCAGGATAAAACCGTGAGTTCCTTGCGTCTGTTGGGTTGTCACATAAACAATATGTTTCTTATATTTCTTTTAGCTTTAAGAACGAAGATACACAAAACTTTTTTTAAAGAAATTATGGTGTATAAGTAGACAATTTATAGACAATGAAAGAGAATATGTTTCGGCAAAATCTTTTTTAAAGAAACTATATTATATAGATAGACAATTTACAGGTAATGAAGGAGGATATGTTTTCGATTCAAACGGTTTTGTCTATCTTAATTTTCAAAAATAAAAGAAATACAAAGAATGTTGTTTTATGTTTATAAATGAGGATAAATAAAACTTCGTTTAAAGAAATTATGGTGTATAAATAGACAATTTATAGATAATGAAAGAGAATTTGTGTTACATCAGAAACAGTTCTGTTTATCTTCATATTTAAACACAAAAGAAATATAAGAAACACTTTTTCTGTATTTAGACCATCAAATAAGGTCTCCTTTTCTCATCAAAATTCGATATTATATAAAAAAATCGTGTTTTCTTGTTAGCATTGACTCGAGTCCGATTTCAATCAGTATTTCACTGGTTTAACACGTTTAACACGATTTCATAGAGCAAACTACACAAAATGGTAAAAATATAATATTAAATCGCTTGATTGAATTCTATTATTATTGCATGTTCATCTAGCTGAATGTTACCACATTAGGTAGTATTATCTATAATACAGAAATGTTTTCAAATAATGATCGTTTAATCGATCGAACTGTAGTAATTCGATTTGGTCTGAGGTCACCGGTGTCCCGTGGCGTTCACCGCGTTAATGAATGAAATTGCCATCAGCAGCAAGTCAAATTTATGCCGTTGGATCAATTAACCAAAATGATTTCACAAAACCACTGTCCGTGTTTGAACTTTGATTTAGGAACATAGTTCTACGCTTGCCAAGAAGACTCCGAGAAAATTTGAAACAATGCGCATCCCATTCGAATCAGGTCGTTTAATTATCTCGAGCTTCGTTTAAAATTTAAACAGTTTAAAAACATTGTTTAAATTTAAATAAGTTCCGAATTCGTTCTTCACCGTGAAAGTACGTCCTCTTCTTCCGCGCGGATTAAGAAATTGTCTAGTCCTGTTCAACCGTAATTATTCAAGCACTCCGCGTTTTAAATCTACAAATACCAGCGATAGAACCGTCCCCGTGTAAAGAGAAATTGCGGCGGTATGTTTGCGCAGTATCTGATCAGAGATTATAATTTAAATTCGATTTGACCGAGAAAAATATAACGAGAGTAGGCATTGAATTCAATTGAAAAGAGGTAATGGTTCCGATGATAGGCGACTGTACAATTTTCCTGAAAGTCTCTTCCCGAACGGCGAACGACGGGGACGATCACAAAGGAATTAATTAAAATAAATTGTGGTAGGTTATCCTACGGCAACGAAGTCGTGCAGCTCAGAATTAATCGTGAATTATCGTCTTTCTAATTTCCTACGGAAAGAAAATTGTTCGGGGGCGAGCACGGGGGAAAGAAAACCGAAAGGAATGCGGAAAAGAAATGTGTAATATACCTAAATATGTGGTAACTGGTAGAATCGTTTCTTATAAATAGATAAATAGAATAGATATAAAAATATTCGTGTCTCCAATTTGTGCTCTGTGAGTCGATTGTTTAGTTACAGAGTACCAGTAATTTAAGTTCAGTTTTCCAGGGTTAAAAATGGACGTTTTGGAAACTTCTAAACACAACTTTGTCCTTTATCATTTATTGAAAAAAGAGAATTCTATGCATATTTTATGTTCAGCTTTGTTCTAAAATATAATTGATTGGGATTCTCGTTTCATTCGATCAAAAATATGGATTCTTTAGAACTATTTAGAACTGTTTAGAAAAACATGAATTTTCTTTAGTGGGAACTTTGCATGTGCAAGGCTGTAATATATTTTTAATATACTTTCATTAAGTTTCATGCACTTTTTCAGTTAGATTTATTTAGAAATACAATATCTGTATTCAGTAAATCAAAATTCCACTCAATTGACGGTTTACGTGAAATCTGATTACGTCAAATAATTTATTGTTACTCGTGTATTAGGTACACAATTTCAGTTAATATTAATATTTCAGTTAATCTTTGAAAATAAGTAGAATTCGATTATTACAAATCGTTCACCACAGTGTAAAATGCAAAATATATAAAAAGTCGCTTTAACCCTTTGCATTCGACGGTAGTTTTCTCAATATTCATTATTTTCTGATGAAACATTAATAAGACTCTTTGCAACTAATATAAAGAAATATCTTCCGCAAATTAAGGGACAGAAGTATTTTATTTGCATGTTCCATGTGTCATATTATATAAAATTTAATATTGAATTTTAAGTTTCATCATTCTGTGGGATCGAATCAAATTTCTGAAGATGCTCCTTCGAGTGCAGAGGGTTAAAAAATGTTGAAAATATATTGAGTCTCATTCGAGTTGTTTAGACTTTATCTATGGTTTTACTGCAGTCGGTTTATGATAGTTAAATTGCTGCTTCGTTAAACATAGATAGTAAATATAACAGTCGAAATTGTAAACCTGAACGCGCGACACAGGTATAGAAGGATATAGTTTTAGTTTATTGCAGTACATTGTAAAATAGCACTGAAATCAGGACTTTGGCAATTCCTGGATACGTCACGCCACAACTTGAAGATGACCGTTACGTTGGAGGCGCGTGAATAACAGAAAGCCTCCTCGCTGATCACGAAATACAGAATCCACCAATCAGGAAATTCATCCTCATCGTCACTCCGCCAAGCACAGCTTGAACCAGTTAACTGTGGGAATTAGTTGGAAAAACCTCTCGTTCTGCGCGCAATAAAATAAAAAAATGCAGCGTGTACTCATCGAACGCAGGACGAATGCACGTAGAGTATATTTCAATGAAAGATCAAAGCGAAACAAAGAAGACTTACATGTTTATGTGAAAAAATAAAGAATCCATTGCTGAAAGGATTAGTATCAAGCTTTACGATGTCGTGTATACTCGTGAAACACAGTTAACTGGTTAAAAGTAGTTGTCTTAGGCCGAAACTTCAGATATTCAAAGTCGTACGGACGAACGACAGAGATTTCTCCGGGTGACTCCGGTAATATTTACGAGAGGTCACTGTATACCTGCAATCTTGGCGAGAGAACTTTCGTACATCAATCGTTAACATCCGCAACATCGTTATCCTTGTATTGCTAAGTTTGTCATATATACAATTGTATTGAATCTTTGCGCAGTGCATTTCGAATTATTTATTTAACATTCCTTGTGCACCAACGAAAGATCCTCCGAGCCAGATCTTAAGAAAATAAACACAGCGTACTTTGATTCATTATGACGAGTCGCTCAGTGCGAGGCAAGGGGTTACATTCCGTGCGTAGGAGTATTAGATTGATTATTATCCGCGACAGTTATGATCTTTTCAGTCGCATTTACTCGAACCGCCTTAGAACATTGCAGCGATTATTAAACTCTACAGAAACTCATTCGGCAGGAGTAGTTATATTTTGAATACGTTGCACTTCGCTGAACCTCAGTCGCGCTCGTCTCGACGTAATATTAGGCTATTAATGTCGTTGCTGTTGCTATTACTGCTAACGACAGTGTCGACTAACCCGATTATCCATGCATGATTATCTTGGAAATGTATATAACTTAGCTAAAGACGATATTTATTGCCGAACATTATTTAAACACGACGGATGGAAAGCTTAATGACATATTCAACACTCGTGAACCAGTCGTAACGTGTCATTAATGAAATTTCGATGTTCGAACGTTAGGTCGTTCTCATTATATGGATCGCGTTTAAGATTCGACGCCAGGAGTATTATTCAGATTTGAATTAATGCCCGTGACCTGACAACTATTATTGCAATTTAATTATTCAAATTTCAGGATGAGGTTACAGCATGGGATATCGGAAAGCAGCATTTTCTTTGAATTTTTTGATACGTGAATATTTTCTTAAACATCAGGCCATCTATATTATCGAGAGAATGCTGTTAGAGAAAATTCTGCTAAACGGACGCAGTAATATATAACAGTGATTTTTTGTGGAACGTTAACTTGGAAATACAAAAAAAAATGTTTCGTTTAAAAGAAAACACGAGTTTCGATATTTGTTGAGCATACATGCGCTTGTTGAAATACGCATACCACGACCAACGAGAAATTATTCTACATAATTACTGAAAAATGTACAATATCCAACATATTTACCCTAAAGAATGTATAACATGAAATATAGCGCTGAAAATATTTTTGAACATTTTTATGAATATTTCAAATACTGTGTTCTTAGGAGAAGTTACTCAAAATCATGCTGTCAGCAGCATGTGTGATATATACTATATATGAAACATACATCTAGCGCGTGGTATACTCTATTGTCGCTTTTGCTATATCCAAATATCCCATATATATGACATTTATATGAAATGCTTTGTTTGATTTATTCGCAATCTTTCAGATGTATAAAAATCGTATGATTAGCATATCACATTAAAAAATTGAAGTAAGTATTCACCTAAAAAGCTAACAACTTGAGAAAATTGCATTAAACTCTTTCTTCCGACAACTGAAAATAATAAAAGTCGTAAATCCCAAAGCAGCACAAGTCCACTTTCTAACCTTATCAACGTGAGTTATCAACAAATTGACTGACACGAGAATTTCGATTGTTTCGTACAATAATATTTGTCCTATCGTAAGAAAGTTAAGTATTGTCTGAAATACATATTCAGAATGTGGTGTCACAGTGCTCATATGACGCTACTATCTAGTTACTTGTGTTACTAAATATTTTCATTCAACGTCAATTTCCTTATTGTAAATGTTTTCAAGCAATTAGGAAGCTCCGGTCACCGGTAACCATCATCAAGACTTTTTCAAATTTGTCTATAGAAACTCTAAGATCACATCTGCTAGGATTTCGATTAACACATACTATGCATGTTACTAAAACAATTTCTTCAATACTTCCTCA